ATATTAATATTGTTTTTATGATTCAACATCTTAATGTGTAGAAAGATCTTGTAATAATGCTAAATAACATCTTGGAGGCACAGTTACTTCATTTGATTAATGTAATAAATATTTTGAATAATGTGTCTTTTCAAAACCAAGTGCTGGTTCTATATGTGTAGATGGCTATGTTGATACTAATAATTTTGGATGTAAAAAACTTGAAGGTACTTAAGATGATTGTTTAATATTATAAGGTAAATATAAATTAAGTGAAAATGTCTATGAATATAGATTATGTTAAAAACATTATTAAGAAGGTGTTGCTAATTGTTTAGATAGAACATGTGATTAGAAAACAGATGGATATACTGATGCTATTTGTTAAACATGGCTTCCAACTTGTAAAACTAATGGAGTATCTTGTGTTGATATATCAACTTCATGTACAACATTAGAAGGAACATCAGATAGTTGTAAATAACTTACTGGTTTAGTATTTGGATCTAAATGTCAAGGTAATACATCTGTTAAAGGAGTATGTGTTGCTAGAAGATGTTAAGATAATGGTACAGCAAAAACTGATGCAGATTGTAAGAAATTCTTAAAAGGTTGCATAACAACTGGAAATGGATGTGTAGATGAAAACACACCTTGTTCTGCTTTATAGGGAAATTAAGATTTATGTAAATTATTGACAGGTAATAGTAAACCATGTTGGAGTTTGTCTTTAACAACTAAAGGAGCATGTATTGATAGAACTTGTTCTCATAATACAACAGCAAAAACTAATGCTGAATGTGATACTTTTATGAAAGGATGTATTACTAAGAATCCAGGTTGTATTGAAACAACAGCAGAATGTACATCATATTAAGGAATCTAAGCTGATTGTGAAAAGTATATTGGTAATGGTAAGACTTGTACAAATGATGCAACTGCAACAAATACTACTAATTGTAAAGTAAAAGATTGTACTAAATTGAGTGCTGATACATACTCTTAATCTGTATGTTAAGCTTATGGTGTATAATGTCATTATAATGGATCAAAATGTGATGTTGCTTAATCATGTTCATCATTAAAAGGCAATTTGGTTACATGTACTTAATATGTAGCTACAGATGGTCCATGTATTGGTACTGCACTATAAACTGAAACACCAACTAGTTGTTCAACTGCAAAATGTACAGATGCACCATCTACTTTAGTAACAGATGCTTAATGTGAAACATATAAAAAAGGATGTAAAACAACTGGTTAAGGTTGTGCTTAAAGTATTACTTGTGGAGATGTACATATAAATATATATATAAATATTTATAAATATTTATTGTACTATCTTCATCTATTTGTTCTGCTGTTAAAATTGATGATGATTTTATTTGTACTTGGTAATCTTAATGTAGAGATATTGAATCTTCATGTAGTAATTTCACTTCAAGTGGATCAAGTGTTTGTACTTCCTCTAAAACAACTTCAGGATTTGGTATTTGTATTTGGAAGGATAATGTCTGCACAGAAGCAAAATGTGAAGATTTACCATTATCTGTTAGTTCTGAGGCTGATTGTATTGCATATTCTACAACATGTACTTTTGGTGGAACTGGAAATGGTTGTGCAACTAAAGGAGAATGTACTACTTATAAAAAAAAAGAAATATGTGCAAATGCAAAATCTACAGATACAATGGATAGTTGTGCTTGGGATGAAAATATAGTAACAGGTACATAAA